TGACCCCCGCCCCCCCCTCTCTGACACCTTCACATCACTAACTTACTGTATTTAAACTGCAGCTTTTTTTCTTCTTCTCCAAACAAACTCTGTTTCTAATTGACATCCTGTAAACTTGTAAATGTTTTTGCTTTGTTGTACAGAATAGTAAATAGTTTTATCGCTCTATTATTGTATGATGTTTTATAACCTTGGCTGATTGAAAAGACAACTATGCATTATATTTAATAAATATGTGAAAACTCACACAAACATGATGGTTTATTATTTATTTTATTTCAGCTTTTACAGAGAAAAATGAAACTCACAATAAAACAAAACTGGCTAGCAACAATAAGCTAGCTACAGAGCCAAATGGATTACTAGCAGTTAGACCAGGCATTTATATAAAAATAAAAATAACAAATATAAAAAAATAAATAATAATAAATATAATAATATAATAAAGTTTGATTTCTTGTAGGGAGGAAAAAGAATTGTCAAAAAAGGCTAGGTATTAGTTTAGAAATGAGTATTAGTGGTATAATAAATAAATAACGAAAACTTTTGTGTATATATATATATATATATACATATATATATATAATTCCCCTTTGTCCAGTAGAGGTCGTCGCTCATTGGAGGACACAGATTTGGGATCAGTTACCTTCATCAAATTTTTATTGTTCTTCACTGTAGCTGTTATATAAGGAGTTTCCTGAGTGTGTTTTGTCTGGGTTACATAATTCACTGCATCACGTTAACACAAATGTCCCGTGAAGCGTTCACTGCGCTGCACTGAGCAGATCAGCTCTGACAGGCCCGGGCTCTTCACACAGTGTGTCAGTGTGTGTGTGTCAGGGTGTGTGTGGGGCCACACTATAAAGCCAGGTTGATGGTGAACGTCTGTCGAGCTGCTGCTGATCCTGGATCTGTGCTCACCGACCGACCGAGGATCTGTTGACGCCCAAACGGTGAGAGAAACTTTAATTCAACTTTAATTAATGCCTTATGTTTGGAGCTGATTAATATACTGTTAACATTCAGCTGTACAGTCTTTATTATAATTTTGTATTTTAAATATTAACAGCTTATTTATTTATTTAACAAACGCCCAATTGAGGACGTTTTTTTCCCCAGAAAAACCTTGTTTTGGAAATTATACTGTTTAGTTTGTTTGTTTTTTTAAATCTGATGGTTTGAACTTTTATTTTGAAACTTATTCATAAAAAGACTCCATTGTTCCTGTGGAAGTGTAAACATGAAACTTCTGTCAGATTCAGAATGTTCTCCACAGATTCAGGTGTTTGACAGTAACTCCACTGTGATTGGTCCACAGCAGCCGTGATGGTGATGATGCTCAGACTGGGGAGACTGACGCCCGGTTACTTTCGTCTGCTCCAGGTTTGTTTGTTTCACCACGTCAGCGTTACACAACGCATGGATGAATATTTGGTAGAGAGCTGGAGTTGATCTCAGGAGGAATCAGAGATATCGACAATTTAACTGGTTATAAAATGGGGGAAAAGATGCTTTTGTCACAAGTTATGTCAGAAAAACATTACAATTCTAATTAAAGTGAATACATCTGAAACTTAATCACTAAAATTAACACTTTCAAGAAGGTGTAAGATGAATGAATGAACAAAAGTCCCCTGGTGGTGACAAACAGAATGACAGCTATTCTTATTGTGTTTGTTCAGAGTGGTGTCTTCTTTAGTCCACATTTCACAAACTGTCTACGTGTGTCTCTCCCATCCTCAGCGTCAGATGTCAGGTGAGGTCCAGGTTCAGTCGCAGCGAAGTTTCATCGATCCCATCGCCATGGTGATGGCAACAGTCGGGACAGGAGTGTGTCTGTACAGCAGCAGGCAGATGACGGAGCGGGTCCAAGTGAAGCACACACAGATCTGAAATGACAACGTAGGAAATGGTCAAAAGTTAGGAGGCAGTAACATGTCTGTACAGCAGCAGGCAGATGACGGGGCGGGTCCAAGTGAAGCACACACAGATGGTTAGGAAAAGCTATTCTTCAGTAAAATCTGACATGTAAACTATAATACTTGCAGCTAGGACTTCTTCAACTTAAGAGTTGATGGTTCAAAATCCCTTTTTCACATTTTTTTTTTTTTTAATTCTGTGCCATGTCTGCTTTATGAGGAAGAGTTACTGGTTTGTAAGAATGTTTTATTTGAGGAAACTGCAGGACGAGGGTGAGGAAGGAGTTGAGAAGTGTTTGTGTCTGATATGTCGATAAACTGAGGCCACGTGTAACGTTTGTGACGCACCTTTGTAAAAAACAATCTGATCTGGTTTTTGGATATCAAGAACGACTCCTGTGTTTGAAAAATCACACAATTCGCACAAAAGTTTAGTGATGACTTCAGTCTGTGACACATAAATGTGCTCTACTCAAAGTTGATAAATGTAGATTTACTTTAAAAAAATCCAAGCTGGTATATGTCGTTTGATCATTTATCAAAAAAATAAAGTTCCTTAAATAGCTATGAAATGTCCACATTATTTATTTGGTTTAATAATGTATCATTTATTTGGTGTTTTTACGGTGTGAGTCCATGTCCATGTTCCCAGGAGCCACCGTGTGGAAACTGTGTGGGAAGCAGAATGTGTCGACTGACTGAACAAACTGTACGGAGGAATTCATGTGAAAGAAACTCCCAGAGAGGAAGTGGCTTTTAGGATCAATAAGATAAATATCTGGTCTGGGTTTTACTGCGAAATATTTAAAAATCCGACTCTCAAACCATGGTACTGCAGTGCAGTTCTGGTTCTGTACCTTTAAATATGTTGATTTTCACTTTACAAATAAAATATTCATATAGGTATCATGTTTGTTTCATAATTTATATTTATTTCATATTTATGACTTTTATGAAGTGTCACTGTACCAATGTTTATATAATGATTGTGACTTATTTATCTACTGATTCTATCTGAGAAATATGACTTTAAACTTCACTTATTATCACTGTATAAATGTAGAATTTAAACAACTGGTCTCCTATTGTCATGATTTGGACTTTTTACTGATTCTTTCAACCTGTTTCCTTAAATAATTTAATATTTTTCAAGTCTTAATTACAATATTTAACGTTTAAAAAATTATTGTTTTCTCATAATTCTAACATCATTGTTCGTAAACTATGAATTTATCTGCATTATTATGGATAACTTAAGGTTTGTTTTTCGTCGAGTTGAGTCGAGAGCAGTTGGTCTTCCGGTCCAGCAGGTGTCGCTTTGGCTCAGTCTCGGCTGTGTTTGATTTACAGTGGAGCGTGGGTCCAGCGTCTGTCAGTGAGGTTGGTGTGTGTGTGTGGTGATGGTCGCTCTGGAACTTCATCTGATTTAAGGAGGGAAACGACACCAGCAGCTCTGACTCCCCGTCACTGACCAGGAGTTGTTTTAATATCTTTTCCCTCCGCTCACAGACATAACACACAAAATGATTCTTCTTCCAAAAAAAAACCGCCATTTATTTTGTCCCTAATTTGAAAGAAAATGCCTGTTGATTTGGACTCCTGGGCAGATCCTCCTCTTCTTCTTCACCTTCACATTCACCGGATCTAGAGCAGCAGATTCCCGAAAATGGCTGTGTTTCTGCGGCGGAGCAGCTCCAGGGCTGCCGTAACCATCGGGGTTTTACTCCTCACCACTTCCTTCTTCATCCCCGGCGCCTCCTCAGACAACCGTGACGCTGCCCGGGGGGGAAGCAACGGGACCAGAGGAGGTCCGGGGCAGGTGTTACAGGTGGAGAAGGAGCAGCGGAACTCCTCCGTCCACCAGGAAACACACACGAACTCCAGCGCCGACCACAAGAAGCCTTTCCCCGTGCTCTCCTTTAACTACGACCACGTCAGGACTCCCTTTGAGATCTCCCTGTGGATCCTCCTGGCTCTCCTCATGAAGCTGGGTAGGTCGACCCCCCGCCCCCCCTCCCCACACACACACACACACACTAAAGTGCTGACCAGTGAAGTCCTACTGCTGACTGAGATGCTCCGTTTCTCAAACACTGGCTCAGGACACAATAGGTGTTCCACAAAATAAAAAATTTAAAAATATATATATATACTTTTTTTCATGTCTTTATGCTGGGTATTTTTATACTTGTTTATAGTACCAGTACTCTAGTACCAGTACTCTGGGGGAATACAGTTGTATTTGTTTTGGTAAAAGGTCAAGAGTTCAAACATGTACAGCTGGTTCTAAAGGTCAAGTTGATGTTTGAGTTTTTAAAAACAGTTTAAGGACGTTTAACTGTGTTGTATTTTATTTCATATTTTTACATATATTATTATATATGTTGTTGTTTTGGTGGTAAGATTAAATTGTCGTATATACAGTATATATGCTGTATATAAATATTTATTATCCTTAATTCCCACTTTTCCTCTTGTCTTTAATGACCCATATTATTTGTAATTATTCCATTAATTAATTAATGCAAGAAACTAAAAGAAAAAATATATCGTTTTGCATCAGTGTTGAGAGTTAATTTTTTTTTTTATAAACAGAAAGTTCTTCCCTCCCTTCCTGTTTCTGTGTGTGTGGAAGTTTCCCAGAGTGCATTGGGGATTCACAGCCCAGATTCACATGGACTTATTTCTGTGGCAGCCTGTGAACGTCTGTGTGTGTGTTGAAGGACAACAGTTAACACACACACACACACACACAGAGAGCAGCTGTTCAGGCTGACGTTCATCCGTCACGTGCTGACTCAGCAGTAACGCAGCTCCACACCAGGAGACGTTTCTTTGTCAAAAAGCTGACGATGACGCCGTGACATGATCTGTTTTTTTTTTTGTTTTTTTTACAAAGTGCTACTGAACTGCAGCAGGATCAGCCAAAAACAAACGGTGGTTGGCGTCAAAACGTGTGACCATAAAATCAGGGTTGTATGAACTGAGCAGCGTCTGTGACGTCGTGATGTTTTACACAATAATGAGTCATAAATATCACAGAGGCGGCCATCTTCCCATCTTTCCGTGTCAGTTCTGAAGTATCTCCTGGTGAAGGTGGAGTGACGTTCTCTCTTATCGGCCTCTCCAGCCGTGGTCTCTCAGGGCTGGTTCTACTTCCTGTTTAAACGTGCTGCGTGATAACAAAGATGTCAGTGTGCTGAGCTGAGGCGACGGAGGCGAGGTCCGCGGAACAACACCACCACCACCACCACCACCACCACCACAGAACTGTGGGAAAACACTCACTTTTACAGTAGCGGTCACATGACTGACGGACCTGACAACAAGGCCTCATTCTACTGAGAGCTGAACCACCATGATGTTACTGCAGTATTATTAAGTACTGACCAGAGACAGACGTGTTCTCCCAGAGCAGCTTTTTTGGAAGAGCGCCCCCTGCTATATCCCAACCAGGTTAAAGAAAACCCAATTTCACACACTTTTGGAAAAAAAACAAAAAAACAATAAGCGTTCTTATAAAAGAAATGTTTATTTACACGTCTTCATTGTGTGGAAAAATCTCACATCAAAAAACACATTTTTTTTATGTAACGCACCCCCTAGTGGCTGCTCGTGCACCAACCGTTGTGCATGCACCACACTTTGAGAATCCCTGTTCTACGGTCAGGTTGAGTAAAGAGAGAGAATGCTGGGAAAAAACACAGACTATCAACTGAAATGCAGCTCCAAACTATTCCAGAGCCACAACAATGATGTTCTATATGGAACATTTTCTGTTCAGTTTTTTTTAAATGAATTTGTATGTAATTTTGCACATTTTACCTGGTCAGGTCTGGTCTGTTTTTTTGTGACCAGCTGCAGATAACCCCTCTCTCTCTCCGCAGGCTTCCACATCATTCCCAGAGTGTCCCACGTGGTGCCCGAGAGCTGCCTGCTGATCGTGGTCGGACTGCTGGTCGGCGGCATCATCAAAGCGATCGGCGAGAAGGCGCCCGTCCTGGGCTACGAGCTCTTCTTCTTCTACCTGCTGCCTCCCATCATCCTCGATGCCGGCTACTTCCTGCCCACCCGGCACTTCATGGACAACATAGGCACCATCCTGGTGTTTGCGGTGGTGGGCACCCTGTGGAACGCCTTCTTCGTGGGCGGGATGATGTACGGGGTGTGTCAGATCGAAGGAGCTCAGCTGGCGACGGTGGACCTGCTGTCCTGCCTGCTGTTCGGCTCCATCGTCTCCGCCGTGGATCCGGTGGCGGTTCTGGCCGTGTTTGAAGAGATTCACATCAACGAGCTGCTGCACATCCTGGTGTTTGGGGAGTCGCTGCTCAACGACGCCGTCACCGTGGTGAGTTAAAAGTACCAGTACGATCCTGAAGGGGGCATATTATGGAAACTGGACTTTGTCTGGATGTTTGTTCACATGTCGGTTTTATAATCTGAGAAAATCTGGAAATATGTCTCGCAAAAAGATGTTTAGATTTTATGCGCTTTGTGATGTCAGAACAAATTATAATAGCACCACCCATACTCAAGAAGCCATCTGCTTCTCTCATATGCAACTGGCGGCGTCCTGTCAGTTTACCATACATGGCGGAATACCATACGTTGCTCTAAGATCTCCGTCTCTGTGCAGGTGCTGTATCATCTCTTCGAGGAGTTCTCCCACGCAGGAACAGTCACGGTGGTCGATGCTTTCCTCGGTGTCGTCTGTTTCTTCGTGGTTTCTCTGGGAGGAATCCTGTTCGGAGCCATTTACGGCCTCCTCGGTGCCTTCACCTCACGCTTCACCTCCCACACCCGTGTCATCGAGCCCCTCTTCGTCTTCCTCTACAGCTACATGGCCTACCTCTCTGCGGAGGTCTTCCACCTGTCGGGCATCATGTCGTGAGTGGACGTCTCAGATGATCTCCTCGCTCCCTTCTTTAAACCATTGACGTTAACATTCTGTGTGTTTCTTTTTTTTTTTTTCCCTCCCAAACGAGGCTGATCGCCTGTGGCGTCGTGATGCGACCGTACGTGGAGGCCAACATCTCCCACAAGTCCTACACCACCATCAAATACTTCCTGAAGATGTGGAGCAGCGTGAGTGAGACGCTCATCTTCATCTTCCTGGGGGTCTCCACCGTGGCCGGGCCTCACGCCTGGAACTGGACCTTTGTGGTTTTCACCGTGCTCGTCTGTCTGGTGTCCAGGGTCCTGGGTCAGTTCTGAAAACAAACCTCATCTTCCTCCTGCGTGAACACTCGCCGTCATGTGTTTTTTTTTTTTTCTTTCCACTCAGGCGTCATCGGTCTCACCTTCCTCATTAACAAATTCCGGATTGTGAAGTTGACCAAGAAGGACCAGTTCATCGTGGCCTACGGTGGCCTGCGCGGCGCCATCGCCTTCTCTCTGGGCTTCCTGGTGACCGACAGTCAGATGAAGAACATGTTCCTCACTGCCATCATCACCGTCATCTTCTTCACTGTCTTTGTGCAGGTGAGAATATTTGAAGTGGGCGAGGGTGAGGGTGGGGGTGGGGGTGAGGGTGGGGGCTACACCCTGGAGAGTTCATCCAGTTGAAAGACTTTCCGTGGACTGTCGTCGTGGCGATGAAGGGACACGGTGAATGACGTGGTGACTCTTCCCCAGGGCATGACGATCAGGCCTCTGGTGGAGCTCCTGGCCGTGAAGAAGAAGAAGGAGAGCAAACGATCCATCAACGAGGAGATTCACACACAGGTGAAGTATTTCTGGTATTTCCTCACAGGTCGAGATGAAGAGTCCGTTCACAGACCTTTGTTCCTGCGAGAAGAATAATCTCATTCTCTGTGTCTAGTTCCTGGATCACCTCCTGACGGGGATTGAAGACATCTGTGGACACTATGGACACCATCACTGGAAAGACAAGTATGTGGTCGTGGCGTCATTCTGTCACTGTTTATTCATTTGGTTTGAAAAATGAAGCCGACTTCAGCAGAAACAGTCGACGAGTTTAGCACTAAAACCTAAAAGTACGGACTATAATAACCTCACATGTTGTTTGTTGATGAGCTGAGCGCCACCTAGTGGGTGAAGACACTTCAGGATGTTTATTATTCAGGGTACAGTAATGCTAACTGTTAAACTGCCCCAGAGCAGAAATGAAAAACCATCAAAATACCAGTGATGGGAGTGGGGTTTTTTTTTTTTCTGTGCTCAGGATGAACCGCTTCAATAAAACCTACGTGAAGAGGTGGCTGATCGCAGGCGAGCGCTCCACTGAGCCACAGCTCATTTCCTTCTACAACAAGCTGGAGATGAAGCAGGCCATCATGCAGGTGGAGAGCGGCAGCTCGGCCAAGCTGCCGACGCCGGAGTCTTCGGTCTCTATGCAGTAAGTACGAGTCTGGGCTGCAGCAGGAGAGAGTTTAAACACACACGCTTCGTTAATTAGTTTGAATTGATCACCAGACCAAAAGTCCACCGTCACAGCTGTGTTTGTGTGTGAACCGCAGGAACGTCCAGCCCAAAGAACCGGTCAGACAACGAGCGATACCCAGCATCTCCAAGAGTCGAGAACAGGAGATCAGGAAGATGCTGAGAGCGAACCTGCAGAAGACCCGGCAGAGGGTAGGAGGAGTTTTACTGTGAACTAAGAGTAACCTGTCAAGTACCCATGGTTCCGTGTTCGTTTGCCCTCAGCTTCGCTCCTACAGCAGACACGACCTGCTGATCGAGCCCTTTGAGGACCACGTGAGTGAGGCCCGTCTCAGGAAGCAGAGGGCGGAGATGGGACGAAGGGTGAGCGTTCATTCATCTCACCTCGTTTTCACGGAACATCAGGCTGAAAGTGGAAATGTTTTATTATGTTTTTAACGTTACAGATTTAAATTTATTTTTAGGGATGTCCGATATTAACTTTTTGCCAATATCCCATATGCTGATATGGTCCAAACACTTGATTTCCAATTCCGATATCAACCATACCCGCCTGGTTATATGGATTTATTTATCTGGACAAACCACTGTATGAGTTCTGTATACAATCACCTGATTATCCAAATAGATTAATAAGATGAGCTGCAATGCTGCCATCTAGTGGACTTCACATGTAATATTATCGGACATCGTTATTTATTTGATTTGGCTTTGAAACCTCGGTCATTTCTATGCACATCCTCGTTGACAGATGAGTCACTACCTCACCGTTCCTGCGAACCGTCAGGAGGTTCCATCAGTGAGAAAAGTCTGCTTCGAACCAGGTCAGTAAGACGTGAAGTTCTCTTCATCTCAAAGTGTCTGAAAATGCATTTTTAGCACCACCTGCAGGGGAGAAGAGGTATATTCTGTTTTGAACCAAACTAACCAGAGTCCATGTCGTACAGAACACCAGGTTTTCACCTACGACACCGAGTGTCCAAATATCCAGACGTCTCGTCCTCCTGACACAGTCCGCCTGTTGACCGAGTCACATCAGAGGACCAATCAGAGCGCAGAGCTGCAGGAACTGAGCGCAAAGGAAACAGACATTGAGGATCAACAGAAGGTGTCCCGATGCTTCAGTGACCCGGGTCCAAAAAGCGACCAGGACAGAGACGGTTCCTCCACCTCCTGACGTGGTTTTCTTTTCTACGTCGGTCCTGATCCCTGAGTGAAGAGAAGACGCTGCACTGCCTGCTATTAATTATTCTTCCACACTCACTGTGTGAGACGTGGAATCATCCAGAACATGTTTGTCATTTCTTCTCTTGTCTCTGAATGTCTTTTTCTGAGTCAAAACCAAAGCACCAACCGTTGGTCGTCCTCACCACATTTGATGTCTAGTAACAAATAGACAGTGAAGCACATGGACGTCAGCTCAACGCTGATGCCCAGAAAAATTTAATCTGGACTTTCTACAGAAATGGTGCGACCCTTCACACATCATAGAATCTCACAACCAGATGACAGTTAGCCTGACACAACCATGCAGAACGACAGGGTAACATTGATAACATTTCAAACCATTTAAAAGCTAATGCTACTGGTTCGTGTCAGCTAATGTCTAAAAGCACATATAGCTTCTGTCTGTCTGTAACATCAAAAACACGGGCGGGAAATTTTGTGTGAAACTCGCTTCAGTGGCAAGTAAATCATAGTGGCTTTTAATCCTAGCCTATTATGCTAACCCAAGCTTAAAGCTGAGGACATTTCCCCAGCCTAGCTTTGAGATAGTGAGTGTGTTAGCATCGCTACATCTAACTTGAAGTTTCTGGATCCTTAATCCTCTAACAAAACCGCTGTTGTACAGCTAGCTGCATTTCAGGCTAATTTAGCTTAATGTTACGCTGTGTTCCACGTGCTTCAGAAATCTGAAACTCGTCACTGGAAGTTTGAATCATAACTGTGTTTGGGTTGTTCCCACCGACTTCATATTGTTACTGACAGATCAAGGTTCTCTCAGGGACTGCAGTTTGGCTCGGCGATGACGATAAATGACGTAGACGTCTGACAGAACACTTTTGTTTGCATGGAAACCTAAGGAAAATTGGAGTTTCTTCTGACTTGTTATTGGACAGTTTTCCCGCCCGGTGGTTCATCCATTCTGACACACAGTCTGTGGTGTAGAGTTACAGCCACTGTGGAGTAAAAGAGGGTTTTAACGTCCAACATGTGCTTTGCAGTATGTTTGTAACCCGAACGCCATAAAAGCGGAGGTGTTTGTTGTTGTGCTAAGAGCTTCACAGTCTGAACAGAAGGTTGTATCTGTGAAACATCAGTGTTCCTCTTACCAGAGTTCTACAGACTCTGAATACTCTCCATATCTGCACCGCACTGCCTGAGCTTCAGCCGCCTAAACATGTTTGCCTTAACGTCTGCTTTATGCTTATGATTTTGCCAGTTTATGTATTATTTTTATATTTTAAATACCAAAAAAGTGTTAAACGTTATTTAAGTATTTGTGAAATGGAAAGAAAATGTATTTTGGTCTAAAATAAAGGTTTGTCTTTGTCATTGTTACAGAATATTGGCTGTTCTTGTTCTTCTGTGGGGGTATAAACCTCAGTGGATCATCTGCCCCCAGCCAATCACATGACCTGCCTGCACATGCGTCGATTCTCACTCTCACTGTTTGACTTATTGTCTTATTTTTGTCCCGTAATCACAAAAAAAAGTACATTTCCAACTGTGTCCTTTATCGACCTAACCTGCTGCACAACCTTTCCCTGTCGTCTGTGGGTTCAAATTAGACTGCTTTGAATGAAGCACTAAACTGTGTTTCATGCTGTCTTTCAACATTTGTCACTGTGACAATTATGCAGTAGAGTTCCACCCATTCTGGGTCTCTTTGGAAAATCCAGTCCAAATAACAGGGAGTTTGAAATCCCTCCCATGGCAACCACTCGCTGACGATGGACTCATGACAAAAAGACCAACCAACGTCTTCATTCGTTCAAGTAGCACAGCTGGAGGACATGGCTTTCAATGGCACCTGGCAGGTTTATTCTGAGGAAAACTTGGAAGATTTCCTAAAAGCAGTAGGTGAGGATGGTTCTTCTCTGACCAACAGATGCGATTATCTGACCTGACCTATGACCTGAAGTATTCTTTACTGATGCCACTCAGGTGCACCTGAAATGGTTGTGAAGATGCGCAAAAATGTCAAACCTGTGATTGTGATTGAGCAAAAGGGCAAAGAATTCACCTACACCATAAAGACCCCCGCCTGCACCAAAGCCCACTCCTTCAGCATTGGACAAGAGACAGAAATGATGACACTGGACGGCAGGAAGTTTAAGGTGGGTCAGAACTGGTGTCGTGCAGCTGCAGTCACACATCGGGTTTTTTGTGCATCTGCTGGGACGTCAACAACAAAGCTGTGACAAATGATCTGTTGTTAATCCAGTGTGTCGTCAGGGAGGAGAATGGAAAGATGATTGCTGAGAGTGCAAAGTTCAGCTCCGTGAGAGAAATCCAAGGAGGGGACATGGTGGAGGTTGGCTATATTAGATGAATGTTTTCTGTTTAAAAAAAAAACCCACTGTTCTTGAATCTCTCATTTATTTCTCTCTGTTTCTAAATGTTTCAGACCATTACTGCCGGCTCTGTGATCTTTATCAGCAAAAGCAGAAGAATCTGACCAGCATCAAGTTATATCTGGTTGCCTGGATATTTTACGTTTGACCAAATGTGTCCATAAATAAACATGTATGACCAACAAAGCAGTGTGGTTATTTGTTATTATAAATTGGTTTGAATTGTTGTTCTGTTCTGTTCTGTGGACACTTTTATTATAAATTGGTTTGAATTGTTGTTATCTGTGGACACTCGGGGCAGCCTTGTGTATTTTTATATATTATTTTGTATAGAGCTGAAAAAGATATTCAATTTTGTGGTATTTCAATTTGAACAAATCACAAATATACCACGTAACGACTGGAATCAAATCAGTCTGTTTGGGAGTGATTAATGTTTTGCCGCCGCTCCGAGAGATGGCAGCGTCGCGCCTTTTAGGGTTTCCTTTGTAATGACGAAGAAGAAGAAAGGAACCCAGACAGACGGCGCCTTTTATCTGCGCATGCGTTTACACATTCTTCTTGTGCTGTCGGCCTTGTTTCTCGGTGCCGACGTCTGATTTCTTCTTCTCTGTGCGTGAACATTGTATGGCCAGATACATGAGGCCTCCAAATACGTCTTTGTTTGTGAGGAACATCTCTGATGATTCCAGGTGAGTCTGCATGGTATTTTGGTGAATTTATGACCAACACAGGTCTGGCGCCATCTTGTTTCTCAGCGAATGGTGGCTAGTTCGGTTAGCTTAGCTCCGACCGTAACATGAGGACATTACTCTCGGTTAATTCATTATTATTAATATTCTGGTTTGTCTTGCAATATAATAAAAAAAAGCAGAATAACTACTATAAGAACATGTCCTTAGTAACGTGTAACTTCTAATGAAATATATGCCATGATTATGTGTGTGTTAACTGCACGTTTTTTCCCCCAATTAGCTAGCAACCGATTACGTTCCATTGAGAATTATTTTTAATCTTGTTCGTCGGTCTTAACATTTTTAAACACGAGTGGAAATTCCATAAAATAATATTCTCTTTTGTAGTTTTATACCAGCATTTTTGTTTGTATGTTTTGTTAATATAAATATAAACAAGAATGTCTGATAAACACCTGGACAAACGTGTAAGTCTTTACAGCCAATTACAATGTATCATTATTTAACTCGTTATATTTTCCTAAACTATGTTGAGGCGGGGAAAAAGTTGTAGAAAAAAATTGTAACGAAATAAATAATCAATACTTACATTAATAGCTGATCTGGGTGTTGTGAAAACACTAACTTACACAGTTAATCATGCATGTTTTTAGTATTGAATTCCTGACTTTAATTGTTCATTTTTGCATCTTAACAGAGTGTGCACTTCCTAAAAGGACATTTCATTGAAAATCAATATTACCTAAAGAATTTATTTAATAAACAGATTTCAGTCACAATGATCCTCATTAGATTTTCTAAATTGGAGAAATGGAAATATACCTTATAGCTTGGTAGGATGGAACAGAAGGTCATGTATTGTTTTGTTTTTTTTCACCTGAAATGTCCTTTTAGCTCACCGTAGCTCATGTTACTGGCTGTAAATGTGGCCACAGTGACCAGTGCTGGTCAGTTAAGTCATATTTGTATTTACGGTGTTCAGGCCTGAGGATTTGCGGCGTGAGTTTGGCCGCTATGGGCCCATAGTAGATGTCTACATCCCGCTTGACTTCTATACACGGCAACCAAGAGGATTTGCATACATTCAATATCCTTTCCCAAAGAGCTGTGTCTCTGCTCTGTGTAACCAACTGAGTTTCCTTTCAGCGAGAAGACCTGCATATTTGGTGTTTGTTTTCCTTTTTTTTTTTTTGCGACTCATTTGACTTAATATCTAACACAAATATTTCTCTGTTATTGCTTCAGAAAATGTAAAAGCGCCAGTTGTGGAAGCGGCCACACAGAGTAACAAAGACCCATGTAGAGTAGCTGTAAAGACAAGTCACACAGAGGCCTTCAGGATCAGAGGGAGGGAAAAGGTTGAAAAGAGAAAAGTAAAGCACGAAGACGAAAAGCGAAACGGAGTCAAAGATCGGCTATGGCGCCAAAGAATGGGCTAAAGAAAAGAGGTTTAAAAGGCAAGCAGCAACCCCAAGTCTGTGGGAGTCGGTTAAAGAATGTAAAGATCAAGCTCAAGTTCAAAGTCAAGCAAAGGTAACAAGTCTGAATTTATGTTGTATCCTCCCAAAAAGACAAATCGCAGAATTTGACACAACACCAAAATGAGCTGTGCCTTAAAAATTCTAATCAAATCAAGCAACAGTATTTGTTTATGATTTTTGTTATCATATATAGATTTCCCTGATTCCTCCAAATATTTTGTCTTAGAGACTGACTTAATTTCTTTACAAACTCAAATGTCTTCCTCTTTATTTCCTGTGTATTATCTTCATATTGTTGTCACGGTAACTGGTTTATTTCCCCAATCAAGCCACACAACTGAAAAAAATTGAAAAGTTTCCTGAATGTCTTCTATCCCCCCCCCTTTTTATTACATTAAATGTTAAAATATTCTGAGCAGCTGGAGTTGGTCGTGAGAGAAAGAATGAAGTGAAATCCCGGTAAACGACTCGAAGGGAAAACATTTATTTACATTTGTTTGGTCTTCAACAAAAAAAGAGCAAATTAAAGCCTTAACCACGCAGCATGTTTGAGGACGTGCGTGATGCAGAGGACGCTCCTCACAGCCTGGACAGGAAGTGGGTGTGCGGTCGGCAGATTGAAATCCAGTTTGCCCAGGGAGACAGAAAGAGTAAGTGTCCAACCATTTTTTATTTTTAAACCAACATTTCAAAATTTTCCGGTCAAGGATAGAAACTCATCAGCTTTTCTTCGTGACTGGAAGCAAAGTATCTCTCTGTTTCTTTCTTATTTGATTCAACTTCATAGCGTTACTGATGCCATTGATGTTATTTTTGAAATGTATTTATTTTTTGAACAGTTCTTAAGCAGTGGCACAGTAATTGAGTAGTGTCAGATTTGGCCTCCAGTCTTTGTTGTTGTCGTACGTGTTGTAAGGCTACGGCTAATAACGTTATTTGTTTACCCAAAGCGCCCAATCAAATGAAGTCAAAGGAGCGCTCTCCAGGAGGCCGATCCTCTCGGTACGATGACTACGACCGTGACAGCCGTCGCAGGCGCTCACGCAGCCGCAGCTACGAAAGATACCGATCACGTAGTCCTTCGTACGACCGGCGTCGCAGGAGATCTGAGAGTCCTCGGGAGTACGTTTCTTCTCTACGAAATATAAGTCACTTTTACCACGGCTTGTTTATAACCTTCTTTTTTTCCTCAGGTCTCGTGGTCGAGTGTATGGAAGAGGGCGGAGCAGGAGCCGTGAGGATGACAGGTACAGAGTCGGGGTCTGGTTTGACCGCAGCTTTGAACACAGTTTTGGTCTTTGACCTGTGTCTTTGTCCGTCCTCAGATACAGACACAGGCCCCGGAAAGAGTCTCGCGGGAGATCACGATCTCACTCCAGGTCCGCGTCCCCAAGAGAAACCGTCAACCCGTCTTCCTCTACTCAATTCCAGGAGGAAGAAGTACGACGCGCACACTCCCCCTCCCACTCCAGGTCTCGTTCTGCATCCAGATCACGCTCCCGTTCGCGTTCTCGATCCCGTTCCTGGGCTGGACGCAAATCAGGAGGGCGTTAGGTAGCAGCAGCTCGCTCTTAATTTTTTTTTTTTTTTTTTTTGTCAGATGGTCATGAGTCGGCCGTCGGTCAGAGGCGGCGTGTTGGTCTTCACATGAATGTAACGTTCACTCTTCCATTTGTAGAAACCTTGTGTTTTCCTGCGGCCCCCGTTTTACGAACAATCCTCGTTCTTGTTTTTATAAAAGATTATTTTTGGTATTCAGACAGTGGTGCAGTCTAAAATAATTTTATGTTCTGAGGCAACAACAATCTGGCCGTCTGTGTCTCATCTGTTTGACCTGACAGATATGTTTTCTAAGCCTGGGTCGCCTTTTCTTTTCCCCGCAAACAAGACAAAGTTGTCGTTGAGTATTTTTTAAGGAAGTCCAGACTGTCGAGGACAAGGTTTCAGTGTTGGAGCACATTTAATCCAAACATCCTTTCAATAATCTCTTTTTATTCTTTAGAGCAGCTTCACAGTTTACAACACAGGATGAAGTCATCTGTTCTGTCAGTCACAGAATGATTTTATCAAGTCATTCTGATCAAGTCACATGACCGACATGGCTGAAGGTCATAGGGCGGCTGTCTGACCTGCTAGTTCCAGTTTTGGATCATAAATGCACAAAAAAAGTTCTTTAATATTTTCTAGTTGTTAACGCTGGTCAGCTACAAATTTAACCTTTTTTTCATATTTTGTTTTTTCATATATTAAAATTGGGAAAATGAGTTTGGAATGAGGTGTGTGTGCGCGTGTGTTTGTGGTGGGTTTTGACCCAACTGTTCTTCTTTTTGACGGTTCTTGTCGCAGCATGTTTTAACCTCCCGACCTGTCCATCATTACCTGTTAGCAAGAAACCGTTATTTTTGAGTAATAAATGGAAACATTGAAAATAAAGATGTGTCTTCACTGTGTGAACGTCCAGACTGAGGATGATGGGAGACTGGACCTCAACTCTGACTTCTGTAGAACTGTTATATTTACAATGGTGGTCCGTTATTCTGGACCACAGACTTCTTGGTGTCTTAGTGACTCGGACTAGGATCAGACTTGGTCATTGATGAAATTGCAATGAGACGACAAAGACTTTTCCTCGTCTGACACTTGGTGGACTGCGCTCCGACAGTCAGTCTGCAGTACAGTAAACAGAGAGAACAGTTCCACCGCTGCAGCCTCATTGATTTCCTGTTAATGGAGTGACAACAGGCAGAGATCACAGAGACGTCCCTGCATCCATGTATGAAATCGGACATGACTCATTGATCTGACGTCCCACTGAAAAAGTAGGAAAAATGGAAACAGACGGAGGACAACAAACACATTCATTTGTAAGTAGGAAAAATGGAAACAGACGGAGGACACCAGTCATGTTCTACGTCAAAAAAATATTTCAAACATAATATTCTTTTCATCAACAAACACATTCATTTGTAAGTTTGGATCCTAACTAGATTCCAACTTAGAACAGTTTTTCATTTTAGTTCAGTTTTAGTCAAAATATCAAAATGACTTCAGCTGATTAAATTATGAATTCATAATAGTCATGTTTAACTGGTCTTTTATAGCATTCTAATGAAAACTTAATGGAACATCATTGTAGTTTTTATTATTTATTAAACATTATCATAAATGAAATCCGTTCATTGACAGGCAGTCGTAAAAGCTGATAACGTTCACAGTCATAATAGTCTTCATCATGAAGAGGAGAACTTAGTGGATCAGGTCTTTTCAGGCCAGGACGACTGTGTGTCCAGCTTCCTGTCCCCCCCCCAACCCCACCCCCGGGGGGTGGGGGTGACTGTCGGCCTGTCACGTCGCTGCAGGGCAGCTCACCAGCTCGACGCCATCGACCACTTCTGTCGCTGCACGGCCTATAAATCGTGAACGAGCAGATGAGGAAGAGTTCATTTGTTTGGTGTGGTTTCCAGCGGCAGCACCGACCCAAACATCTGACTCCAGGATGGAGTGAAAAATACTGTGT